GGAGACTTGCCACGGTCTCCAACCCTCCTCCTTTCTCATCCGGGCTTGGGACCGGCTATGGCGGAGTTCCCAATGGACAGCCTAAAGATAAAATTGTGGAAATTACGGCTCAGATAGCAGCAGCAAGAGGTGGAGGGCTTTCGTTACGCTTTGCCAACAGTTGCGGAAACGACAAATGTTTATATGAGGACAAAGTTTCGGGTTTAACAGGCTGCCATCCGCTCCATCCTCCTTCATGGATGTGAGTGTTTGACCTCACGAATCGAAGACATGAGGAAACTAGAATCCTTCGACCGCTGAAGTTCATGGATTATTGCAACGGCACGACTTAACGACAATAAGTACAACGCGAAACTCGTGCCTTTCGCAATGCCATTCATCGTTCTGCTGCCTTGGAAGAATGATAACCGTCTTGGCTGGGACACTTGCTAAGTCGTTCACCAGACGAAATTATACTGAAATCCCCCTGATCCCTGGGTGGAATCAGAAGGGAAGCAAGCAAGTTAAGACCTTGTGGGACTCTATCAGAGCCGACGCTGAAGTTCTCTCAGGGCCGACAATGTGCGGGTACAAGCTATCGAAGAAAGACCAGCTGAACCTGAAGGAGGGCATTGCAGTGATCGATAGAAATGGTCAGCAGCGATGTGGGACACCACTGTAGCCGGATAAATTAATGATGCTGTAGTAACAAGGACATCTCATCTTTGCGCCTTCTCAGAACGTTCATGAATGCGAGAGAATCGAATATCTATATGATGCAATGCAACCAAAGAATGTCATATCCTGATAACCGTGTGACATGACATTTAAAATAGGTATACATGTGAATTGAGAGCTTGGGAGTAATGCAGGCGCCTAATCGAGTAGATCATGATGGTGATGTTGCCCGCCCTCGTCATGAATATCAGTCTGTGATTGAAACCTCGCAAAGTGTTCCACTTCCATGAATCTGTTGGACTGAACAAAGTCAGCGAGAGGTCGACAAAAATTCATGAACGCTGTCACTCAGAGTGGATTGCCGGGCAACCAGTTCATGGCACTGATCATAACTTCATTGCTGTAGAATTACAGAGTAGCGAGTTATCAAAGAAGAAGTACAAGACATTATTAGTACCTCAGAACAGGATGAAATTTTCCTGTCATTTCTCCGGAAAGAAATATTAGGACAGTGCAATCGAACAGCGTATGATAATGGCGACGAACTTCCAGTCAACTACTTTATACAACTAATATTTCTTGCGACATTTCAAAATTAAACAAGTGATTCTGCCAACTCTTTCGTTTGACACTTATGCTGAACAGTTTTCACTAAGCTACTTTAAGCTCTTGACATAGCAAAAACAGACAAAAGAGTGAGAAACTCGTACCGCCAACGTCGTCTACGCCTGATTTCTGGTCGGATGAACTGAACCAGTTATTTCATTTTTACATGAAAACTCGTCATGTCGTTTGCTACATCTGAAATTGTGGTTTATTTCAGAAATCGTGTTGTTCGAATGTGAACATTTCTCGCAAAATTAAACAATTTAAAAAACGCGAGCAATATCGAGACTGCTCTTAGAATGATGCACATCTGTTAATCAGTACATGTTTATTTGAAGCGCAATTAATGGTTTTTAACCTGTCATGCGGCTGTGGGTCAACGCGGCATGTATTCAGAAGAAACTCAACCGTTTCCACGTGCCCTTCTGAAGCTGCCAGATGAAGGGGCGTTCTTCCATCGTAATCGCTGACATCCATGCTAAATCCTTGAAGGAGATATCTACAAAGTATTACGGTAAAATGTTAAATTATCATATTTCTCCCACCGTTTCAGTACAGCTATATCGCCTTTAGCTGCGGCGTAGAGTGTTTTGTTTAGACTGATAGCAGCGTTTTCAGCAGACTTTTTCCTAGGATCCAATTTGGCCAAATCTCCGTGTACGAGACTGTCATAATTATGGAAGTTGAAACGTTCTACCAAGTACTGAAAAACGAAAGCTGCTGATAAATGAATTCGGAAATGCATTACTTTCGTAAATTGCACGCCGCGCACGGTATTTCCCATTTGGTCCAACGGTGGAGACCACAGGGCAAACCCCATTACGTTTGGCACAATGAGTATCATTCCTCCGCTAACTCCAGACTTTGCCGGAAGTCCAACCTAGAGAGAAATGATCGCTAAACGTTAAATTTTACAATTCAATTAAATACTGAAGTTTCAAGAATTTATGCAGCACTTCATGAGAGGTGAAAGCAATGTACATTATTTAATAAGCTGAAACTTTATGGACAAGTTTCTAGCTGTCATGCATTGAGTCTGACATAAGGTGATTGCTTACCTGGAATGCAAACTGGCCGGAGTAATCATACATACCACAGCTGTACATTAGCGACAAAACATCTCTGACAGAACGGTTATGCAAAGCTTTCGCTCCGGTAATCGGACAGACGCCACCGTTGGCCAGCGTTGCGGCCATGACAGATGCAGATTCACATGTAGCCTCGATCGAGCATAACTGGAAATACAAATCCAGCACTTCGTGTATGTTTACTTTCTCGGGGAAACACTGAAAGCGAACATCCATTGTCTCATCTAAGGTTCAAATTCATCTTTTAGTCTCGTCCGCTGTTTACCTTGTGTTCCCTCATGTAATAAGCGAGTGCGAAGTTTCGATCGGCACTTTCACGCTCAGACAAGAACCTGCAAACTTGTAGACCAGTCAATCTGTGCGAGACCTGTGGACGTGAAAAAACAGCTTACGTTGCGTTGCTGAAACTGATGTATTCCTGTCCTGCGATCTCCTGGTATTTCTTCATCAGAAAATCGAAGCGGTCGGCCAGCGACATTTCGCGCTGTCGAAAGAAGGACTTGAGTCAGATTACTACAATGACCGTAACATACTTTTATTAAAGAGGAAATGACAATGGCACCAGCATTTATCATTGGATTGTGCGGCTTATCTTCAAGATTCGGTTCCAATTACAGTTTTAAAGTATCCTAAAAGTTTACTGTTGTGGTCCAGACAAATTTCGTTGAACAGTCTTCCGGACGGTTCTTGGCCAACATATCTGTGCAATACTTCACCACCAAGTTGGTCCAGTGCTATTCCATACGTTATTGCTTTGCTTATGGACTGAAGGCACCATGGATTTGCGAAGTCGCCCCACGCTGCTCTAAAATACAGTAACGCACTGAAACTGCGATATCCAGCCATATACAACGCTAGAAACATGAAATGATAGATCTTGAAGTCATACCAGACCAACTTCTAATTTAGCTATTATAAACCATTGAGCTATTATTAAATCACATTTTGAATCATTCAGAACTGCCATACAGGAGCACAAGTGTAAGCACAACACTTCATTCTTATGTGTCTAAACCTCCCCTTTCAAACTTTAAATTCGATCTCAAATTCTGGGGGCATCTTACCTAATAGTCCAAGCAAAAATAAAGTTTAGCTTGATAAACTGTAACGACTGTTTCTGAGATTTAATTTGTGATATTATGTTAGTTCCTGTTTGTTCGCCAACTACCTCTGGCCATCAACCGTACAGACTGCTGCGCCCCAGCACTGCGGGTTGAACCTGGCTAGTTGCGGTATGTAATCAGCTACCTGAAATTGTACATTTTCACAAACTAAAGCAATCTGCTCAGTCCACTGCATTTACCTTTCCATCGTTCAGAGGTTTGCATAAATTGAATATGTGCTCCAGTTCTCGGCAGAAAGCTGGCCAATCAGAAATGATGAATTCGTTTCGTAATGCTCGGATAATAAGTACAACGTTTTCACTGATGCATCTAAAAGGGCATAATTGACCAGCTTCAAAAAACGCTTCCTTGCAAATATTTCGAAAACAATCATACGTATCTGTCTTGAGTGTTGGACAACAATAAGTTATACTGGTATTATTACAGTTAAATTGCTTAACAACGGAACAGTTGTCCAACAATTCGTTTTCTCGCTTACCAATTTTGAAAGTCTGAGGTTCAAAACCTAATACTTTGCCTTCTACTAGTTCGTTTGAGCAATGGTTTCACGTATCAAGGACATTGGTATAAACAACTGAAGAATCTCAAGCAGAACGCAACTTGTGAGATAGCAAAAAGATTCGATGTCTTCACCTGGTCATGATGTCGTGCTATTGCTACTGCATATTCGTCAGTCACAATCACGTTCTTCAGAAGACACTGTAAAGGACTGCAAGGCCCTTCACTCTATGGCTAATATAATGTTGTTACATTACCTAAGCTCTCTTATAAAAGGTCGTGATAGCAGTTATTCTTTTGTCTGTTAAAATAAATTGCAGAAAGTGAGGAAAAATTAACTCCATATTTTAACTGTACTAATTCCGCAGATGTTTTCATACTCTTATGCTAAAATTTTGTTTACACCTTTACGTGCACAATATCTTGCATGCTTAGCCCTGGAGATTCTGATAATGGGTAAGGCAAGGTGATTTGTTTGGCATATACTCGAACGATTATGGATACCCATGGCACAGTGAGCGCCATCCTCTGATCATAAGAATGATGAAAATGCGGAATTTAGTGCAACGACTATCAGCCGTCTTTCTCTGGTTGTGACCGGTCAAGTTGATTGGATAATGTTCTTTGTTCACTATTAAATGAATCTTCTATGGACCAAACTAATAAGTCTTAATCACCTGCTCAGAAAATCGAACGCATGTTGAAGAGGTTTCCTCGTTCGTTCGCCGAAGACTTACACGGACTGTGACAAGCAATTGTTCAGTACGGGCTTAAATTTTGGATTTTTCTTTTGTAGACAGAACTGGTTCATATAATGCATAAAAGCTCTGTCAGTTTCGTTCCACTACCTCATTAGCCGACCACTTTAGAGTTCATGCCTGACCCTCACCGGTACAATAGCGATTCAGAGCGTACACTCAGCCGTAGTTCGTCATTACGCGCGATTTGGCATTGGTCAACCGAGAAGTCCAAGCGGATTATGGAAGGCATGACTATCAGTACTTCGGTTAAAACCAATTAATATGGTAAAAGGGTGCTAATTGTTTCCGAGGTTTGCCATTTATTGAATCAAGTTTACGTTCATTTCGTAGAAGGTAGACGGTACGCTGAGAACAGTATCGCATGTCAAGATGAAACACGGTCGAACTGTGCTCTAGTCGTCGTGACAGATGTGGAAACTCAGGATGAACTTCTAAGCAGTGGACAAACGAGCAATGACTAAAACGGCATCGATAATTTTCTGTCTTAAAGACAAATCTGCCGAGAGAAGGATATTTTGGAACTCACAACCAAAACCAAAGGATTGTAAGTTGCTAACCATATTCGACCCTGATGACGCCATAGTTTAATGAACTTTCAAATCTGGATTTTGCCTGTACCTATTAGATAGGTGTTGTGCATGGCTTGTACCAGAAATATATTTTCAGTTGACAATAAGGCAATTATATTTTTTGACTTTTCGCCCTCTGAGGGAAGCCCTGCTGACAAGTTCCCATAGCACATGTAGCACGCGACGTAGATCACAGGATTAAGTGGCTAAGAATTTTTGAAGCATCCTCTTTGTAGATTCTTGTATGAAGAATGGCTGTTAAACAATATTAAGAACAAGTTGCAAAACCCCAATGGCTTTGCAGCAGCAATTAGTGATTGAAGAGTATGCAATACAACTGCATACGGTTATTTTCTGACCTGCAAAGCTGAATTTATAGGTGATAAGCAGCATTTTCCATGGATATCTGAAAATACCTCAGTAGTAAAAAGTGTACAAAAATGCGTCCTATCTCACTTGATTTCGATTTAAATTCGATGGTGAAGCAGGAAATCGATTATCGATATGCTTT